TGTTTGTGGGGGAATTCTGGAAGTTGAAGTCCACACATCTTAAAGTTGCTGAGGTTGAGAAACACTGCTCTACATTATGTTGAGATAAGCCGTTGATAGTAGAATCTTAAGTGATATGGTTTATCTTGGGTTCCGATGTGTTCGTCTTCTCTTCCACAATCAATGCTCAGTAAATAATATACATCCATTACCCTCTACTTATGGCTGCTGCTGCTGCTTCCACTGGGGCGTATCCATCTGTACTTCATGGGGGGTTCAGTAAGGCAGCTTTATGTGGGATGAGTAGGGTGGAAAGTGCTTGTTTGTTGGGTTGTGGGAAGAGCTTCTCCTTGACTATGCAGAGCTGGATGATTACAGTCTGTCTTATCAGGATATGCTTAAATACTTCTGGAATGTGCTTTATGGTTCTAACAGAATTGGCCATTGCAACTCTAAAATTGTGTATGATTTAGGACTGCATTTCTGGAGTGTGGCAGTTAGAAAAGTTTGGAGTAGGCAATTTAAAGAAGGCTGGTCTGTAAAGGGCTGTTGACCATGGCAAATAATAAAGTCTCTAGGTATAGAAACATTAAAGCTCTTCCCACAAGATGCTGAAGATGAACAGGAGGAAAAAAAAAATCTTCAAACCCTGCTTGATCCAGCAAGACAGTTCTTGTATTTTTTTTTTTACACTCACCAGCTTAAAGTAAGCTTAAAGAGAAGAAGAGAGTTTCAGACTTGGAGTTTTTAAATCCTGTGGAATACTTTATTTCAAATGTTTGTTTTGCACCATTTTTTTTATCAAGTTGTTGAATCAGCTCAGTACCAAAAAAAAAAAGAAGTCTGCACCAGCTCTACGAAAACCATGAAATAAAAACGCTTTTAAAGATTTGACATGAGTGTACCTTCCACGGCGTCATCTCCTTTCTTTTTTCTTTTTCTGTTTAGGACTACAATGATGAAATCCGACAAGCACAGTTGCAGGAATTAACTTACTTGAATGGTGGATCAGAAAATGCAGAAGTTCCAGTAGTCCGTGGAAAGCCTCCTTTAAGGGCACGGGGAGGCCTCTCTCCTGCTTTGGCAAGGTATGCAGTGCCGGGGGGTGGGGGTTTTAATTTCTCCCACTTTTTTGCATATCCAGAAAGACTTTGCACCTTTTGCACCATGCTTTGCGCTTTTAGCTGTAGTATGTTTGGATGGACAGCTGTATGAGAATGATGTAGATCAGTGTTTCTCAACCTCGGCAACTTGCAGAATGGGTGGACTTCAACTCCCAGAATT